CGGACTCCGCGCTCCATCTCGAGGGTTTCCAGCTCCTCCGCACTAACAGACAGCGGGAACTTTCCGGAGGAAAGAATAAAGGCGGAGGAGTCTCTTTTTTTATCAACAACGCCTGGTGCTCTGACGTGACAGTGATCTCCCAGCACTGCTCTCCTTCTCTGGAATATCTCTTCATAAACTGCAAACCGTTCTACTCTCCATGTGAGTTAACTTCATTTATTCTGGCCGCTGTTTACATCCCACCGTGCGCGGACGTGCACGAGGCTGAGTGCGCGCTCGCGGACCAGATCACGAGTGTAGAGCGGACTTTTCTGGACTCCCTTGTTATTATCCTTAGAGATTTTAACAAAGCAAACCTCAGGCATGAACTACCTAAATATAAACAGTTTATTAAATGCCCGACCAGAGAAGGAAACACGCTGGATCACTGTTACACCACAGTGAGCAGTGCTTATCGTGCTGTGCCTCGTTCTGCCCTGGGTCTCTCAGATCATGAGATGATTTACCTCATACCTGCATACAGACAGAGACTGAAGCTCTCAAAACCTGTGGTGAGGACATCCAAAAAGTGGTCCAGTGAAGCTGTGGAGGAGTTACGCACGTGTTTGGACACCACAGACTGGGACCTGTTCAGGGCTTCTACAGACAGTCTAGACGAATACACAAACACTGTGACGTCATATATATATACATTTCTGTGAGGACAGCGTCATCCCATCACGCTCCAGAGTCATTTTCAATAATGATAAACCCTGGTTCACATTCAAACTAGTACAGCTTCGTCAGCAGAAGGAGGCTGCTTTCAGAGAGGGGGACAGAGACAACTACAGACGTGCGAAGTATGGATTTAGCAGGGAGGTGTCGAAGGCTAAATCCAGGTACAATGCACGGCTGCAACAACAGTTCTCTGCAAACGACTCTGCCTCTGTCTGGAGGGGGCTGAAAGAGATAACTAATTACAAGCCCAGAGCACCTCATTCTACAGACAATCTCAAACTGGCAAACAATCTGAACGACTTCTATTCACGCTTTGAAGTCATGGATGGACTCACATTCCTCCATCCTCCACACCAACCCCAGCTCAACTGGTTTAACCACTTGGGACTGCCCTCGACAAACCCCTGCTATCTCTGTACAAGAGGATGAAGTAAGGAGGCTTTTTAAAAGGCTGAACACACATAAGGCTGCAGGCCCAGATCTTGTGTCACCGTCCACACTGAGACATTGTGCTAGAGAGTTGGCTTCGGTCTTCACAGGGATCTTCAACTCTTCTCTGGAGTCATGCCACGTCCCAGCCTGTTTCAAGTCCTCCATCATCATCCCTGTCCCAAAGGATCCACGTGTCACAGGAATAAATGACTAGAGACCTGTAGCTCTCACGTCTGTAGTCATGAAAACCTTTGAACGTTTGGTTTCATCTCACCTCAAGTCCATCACCAACCCCCTCCTGGACCCCCTGCAGTTTGCCTACAGGGCCAACAGGTCTGTAGATGACGCAATAAACCTGGCTCTTCACTTCATCCTGCAGCACCTGGACTCCCCAGGAACCTACGCCAGGATCCTGTTTGTGGACTTCAGCTCTGCATTTAACACCATCCTCCCTGCTCTGCTCCAAGCCAAGCTCTCTCTGCTCCATGTACCTGACTCCACTTGCAGGTGGATAACAGACTTCCTGACAGACCGGAGTCAGTGCGTGCGGCTGGGGAGAGCTGTCTTGCAGACTGTAAGCACAGGATCTCCACAGGGCTGTGTGCTTCCCCCCTGCTTTTCTCCCTGTACACCAACTGCTGCACCTCCAGCCATGACTCTGTGAAACTTATTAAGTTTGCAGATGACACCACCCTCATCGGGCTCATCTCGGATGGTGATGAGTCTGCATACAGGAGGGAGGTGGACCGGCTGGTGACCTGGTGCAGCAGCAACAACCTGGAACTCAATGCCCGGAAGACAGTGGAGATAATTGTGGATTTCAGGAAAGCCACAGCCCCTCTACCCCCCTCACCTGTAATGATACCCCATCACCACTGCGAACTCTTATCGGTTCCTCTGCACCACCATCACCCAGGACCTCAAGTGGGAGCCGACCATCGGCTCCCTCATCAAGAAGGCCCAGCAGAGACTGTACTTCCTACGACAGCTGAAGAAGGCCAAGCTGCCGGCCAAGCTGATGGTGCATTTCTACACGGCCATCATCGAGTCCATCCTCAGCTCCTCCATCACGGTGTGGTACGCCGGGGCCACTGCCAGGGACAGACTCAGACTGCAGCGCGTTGTGCGCTCAGCTGAGAAGGTGATCGGCTGCAGCCTTCCATCCCTTCATGACCTTTACGTCTCCAGGACTGTGAGGCGAGCAGGTCGGATCACAGCTGACACTGCTCACCCTGCACACGGTCTGTTCGAACCACTCCCCTCAGGCAGGAGGCTTCGGTCCATTCGGACCAGAACCTCCAGCCATAAGAAAGTTTCTTCCCCTCTGCTGTTGGACTCCTGAACACTCATAATGTTACCTCATAATTTCTGCTTTGGTCACATTACATCTGTATTATAATTGAATACTCCATCTCTACTGTTTTCTAAGCTTTTTTATTGTTTTCTATTGTATGGGTGTACACATGTTTTACGTTATGTTTTCATTTTTACTTTATTTATGGGTGTATACATGTTTTATGTAATGTTTTCATTTTTACTTTATTTTACTTTATTACTATTCGCACCTTTATGTCGAAGCAAATTCCTAGTTTGTGAACCTCGTTAATTGACATGGCAATAATAAACTGATTCTGATTTTGATTTAAAATAGCAGCATGGCATAAAATTAATCTTTATTTTATTTATTTATTTTTTTAAAGCAAGACAATAAGCAGCACTTCTTTAGTTTACAGATTTTTTTTTCTTAGTTGATCTAATTTTGTAAACAAATTCAGACGTCCAAAGAAAAGAGCCATCATGAGTATGGTAATTATTTCAGAGTAATGCATATGTTTTTCTTTTTTCTTCCCATGATGCGCAGAAAACCTTCGCACCCGCTGCTGAACTCCTTCATTAATCACATGAGCCAAGCGGGTCAAGGCCACTGGAAACCTCCACTGGGTTCTGTCTCTCGTCTCCCTAACCATAGTTCCTGTGAGATAGGAGAGCTCACACAGACAGGTATCGACACCGCACACTACCAAATTTTACCCACAGCTACATTAAAGCATTTCATCTTAGTCAACGTTGGTTAGAGTTAGGTGTTGGAATTATAACTAATTGTTTTCTTCTTGCAGGTGTGGTGCAGCACCTTCGTAATGGGCAGCTCCTCCATCATGCCTACAAACAACACAAACTTCTCCCCACCAATTGGTCACCTCGACAGGTTTGGGTGGAGACTACCGGGAAAAGCCGTACTCTCCAGAGTGGTTTGGCTTTTCTCTACGGTTTCCTTCCAAACTTTGAGTGGACAAAGCTGAGCGTCCATCATCAGTGGAGTACTTTGTTCTGTGGATCAGCATGTGACTGCCCTGCCAGGAACAGGTACCTGGAAGATGAGCAGAGGCGGCAGTATCAGCTCAGAGTGGCCAATGACGACCTGGACAGGACTTATGCAGACATGGCGCGCACTTTGGGTCTTCTGACTCGCCAGCTTAGAGCTGCAAACCCTATAGACTCACTGCTGTGCCACCTCTGCCACGGCTTTTCTTTCCCATGTGTTCCTTCTGGAGATGGTGGCGCCGGTGGATGCTTGACTATGGCGCAGTTTGCTGTCCTTCGGCAGCAGCAGCTAGATGATGAGGTGGATCGGAGAAGAGTGGGTCTGTATCGTAAATATGCCACCCTCGCCATGTACCCCTACCTCAATCGAACTGCTGCCAAGATGGAACGGGTTGCTAAGGCCAGTGCGGCAGGCCGGCAGCCTCGTGTAGGGGGCGAGGAGGTCTTCACCCTCTCTTCAGCCCACGATGTCACTATGGCCCCTTTGCTTAGTGCCCTGGGACTGGAAGATGCCAGCTTTCCACGGTTTGCAGCCAGGATAGTTTTTGAATTGTGGAAGAGTCCCACTGTCGACCAAGGCCAGGCAAAAAGGAGAGCAGGAAGGGGGGAGAAGTCTGATCTGAGAGATGGGGATTTGTTCCTCAGAGTGCTGTATAATGGTGAGGACGTGACCTTTCAGACCGCCTTCTGTCACTCCTATGACCGCTACATGAAGCAGCCACTCTGCCCACTGGGAAACTTTCTGACGTTTGTCAGACGAGACATGTTCAGTATCGTCAATGCTACTTCCTACAAAGAGGCATGCTACATGCACTCAGGCTGACATATGGAGATCAGGATCACAGAGTAAGGACACACATTTGTCAAATGGTTGGGATACCTCTTGATTTTCAAGTTTGCTGCTCATTGTGTCTTAAATATGTTGAAACTAATTCTCTACATCCCTGAGCTCCGAGTCCAATCGGGAACTGTGATGTTCTTAATCATGATCGAAAGGCTTGAGGTTCTCACCGGCAACAAACGGTCTCATCAGCTCTTGAGTATTGTGTTTTTCCAAGTGCTTGTCTAATAGAAAAACAACTCACGGGATTTTATATGCCACTTAACCACTTTATTCCTTCATTTTATTAAAAGTCTGAATTCTAAACACTTTTTTTCATTCCCAGTTGAAAGCCTGTAAGAAAGAGAAAATACTATGCTGGAATCCAACAAAGTTGTCGGGTCCTCTGGACGGTTTCTTTTTGTTGAAACGATGAAAATAAAAATTCTATGCTGGAATACTAATTTATGAGAAATAATTTCAGAATTCAGAATCAGAATAACCTTTATTGGCATTGCACCGAGATACAATGCAAATATGTACGTACAGTCCATTTGTGTGATACTGTTTCAGAGAAAATCCTCATTGAGCTGGTTTGGGCCTAAATAATGTTTATAATAATTTGAGTCATTTTATATTCCTATTGGTTGTTAATTTGATTAATTGGCTGGCTTTTTAAACTAACTGCATCACATTGTCTTTTTATTTTTCCTGAAGGTTGAATATGGTACTTTAAAAAGTTTTTTCTCAACAATTTACAGTTAAACATAATGTATTATATTACTTGGTGCTAATGTTGTTTTTTTAATAAATCCAAAAGTTAATCATTTTAAACAGACTCTTGTACACAATAAAATTAATTTTCAGATTTTAATTGTTTCCATTGGATTTTCTGAGAATGTTTGCTGTAATATTTTATCATATTGTTTGCCCCCATCGCAGAGCAAAGATTGAAAATACACCTTCTGTCTGTCTGTGTGCATGTTATGAGCATAACTTGAAAAATAAGTGACGTATAGACTTCCAGTTCTATTTCGTATAGGCTTCGCCCTTTAAGAGCTGTCACTGGTGGGTTTATTCCGTCATGAAAGCATCACACTGAAAAAATTTAGTCCACGCCCACCTGTTGTGTGGGCCCCACCTGGTCCGTATAAATTACGTTAAGAGCGGGTAATCGGCTCCCATTTTTTCTTCAGCAAGCTAATAGCACTGTCAGAAAAACGAAGAAGGAAAGTTGTCCAGCTTGAAAGGCACAACCTTTGCTAAGGCTGCCTGGGTCTCCGCCACGCCAACCTCCTGCCTTCCCGGTGAGTTCTTCCTCCCCGAGGAGAAGCAGACGAGCAGCCTTGTTTCAAGGTAAGCGCCGAGGAGTACTTTTAAGTGGCGGGTCGCTACCCGCTGGACGACGCCATCGACCTTTTTTAATGCCGACTCTCGGAGCGAATCGGATGGTTCCTACGGGACAGGCGACATCAGCAGCAGCCCCCGTTGCTCCCTCCCTCCTGGAGAGCGTACTGTCGGAACGAGGGGGTTTGAACAAATGTTCACCCCCCCCGGGCCTTTCCACATCAGTGACCATACCCTCCCAGCCGTCGGTGCCCTCCTCTTGGAGCTGCCCGGCATAATCCAGGAGGCGGCTGACACGAAGGGACTTTCCGTCCCTCTCCTTCCCCCGCCCAGATCAGATGATCTAGCGGGAAGGTTTGGCTCCACCCCGGCTCGCCGTCCTGATCCCATTTGGCCTCGTTTCACAGCAGTGAAGTCCTTCTGGAACGAGGCTGCAGCCGGACCTGGTAGACTGACGGCGCCAGTTTCCACATTTGCGCCCATCACCAGAGTGGAGGGGTTTAATGAGGGGAATTTCCCTCTGTGCCCCCCCTGGAGCCAAGCCTGGCGGAGGCTCTGAGCAAAGATGTCCAGGTTAGACCAGCGTCCTGTGCCTCCGGGGAAGCATGACCAGACGGTGACGTTGTTCTCCAACCGAGCTTTCCAGTGTGCGTTCCAGGCGGCTGCAGC